AGATTGACATCCAGAACCTACATGAAAAGCATGTTAGGAATGCCCTCCATGCCTATGAGGTTCTGCCTTGGAAGGCGGACATTGACGCGCAAGTCCATCATTTCAACAACCATCTTCTTGGGGAATTGCGCTCACGCTGCCCAGCGAAGTCAAGTCAGCCCAAGAAGCCCTGCATTGACGATGCCGCCTGGAATTTTCGCATGCAGAAGCTCATTGCTCGACGTGGACTTCGGCAGATTTCCAACCGTCACCGACAAGAACTGTTACGGTTTTGCTTCAGAGCCTGGTCCCAGCCGCAAGAAGCCAACCCCACGCAGTTCTGGCAATATCGTCAGTGGCTACACTGTGTCAATGTGAAGATTTTTGCCCGACACCAAACTGCTGCCAGACAACTCAAGGGTCGCTTGAAAGCCCGAAAGACGGATCATCTTAACAAGGTTTTTGAGACCCTGCACCCTGATGCTCCAGCCTCAGCAGTTTTGCATGAGCTCAAGAAGGTGATTGGCTCGACGAACCTCAAGCAGGTCAAACAGCAGACACTGCCTATGATCCGAGATCAACATGGCCACGTATGTACCACGCCTGATCAGGCCCTGGATGCGTGGATTCATTTCTTCCGGAATATGGAAGGAGGTCGAAGAATTCAAGTTCCTGAACAACGCCGGGTCTGGATCCAGAATCTTCGTGCCTTTCGAGCTGACTCCTTGAACATTGATGTCAAGGAGGTCCCATCCCTTGTTGAACTGGAAGCGGCTTACAGACATGTGCAGCCTCACAAGGCAACAGGCCCTGACCAGATTGATGCCAACATCTGTGCCAGTGCCCCTGCAATCATCGCCCGCAAGACGTATAGCCAATTGCTGAAGCTCTACACACATGGCCAGGAAAGTCTTCTCCACAAGGGAGGGAGGCTTCAACCTATCTGGAAGCAGAAGGGACCTCGTGATTGCTGTTCAGCCTACAGGAGTGTGCTCATTTCGTCCCATGTGGGCAAATCACTACATCGTTGCTTAAGGCTACATTCTGCTGATGCCTTCGAGCACTATTTGCAGACCCAACAGACAGGAGGCAAACGGGGCATTTCCGTGACTCTTGGAGTTCATCAAGCTCGGGCGTATTTGCGCTCCAGGCTCCAGCAAGGGAAGAGCACGGGATTATTGTTCCTTGACCTCACCGAAGCTTTCTATCGCGTTGTGCGTGAGCTCGCTTTGGGAGGGCCCCCCAGCGACGAAGCAATCGCTGCTGTCGGTGCTCGTCTTCAGCTTGACACTGACCTTCTTCATGCCTTGCACGAGCATTTGAATGATAGATCGGCGGTTGAGCGGGCAGGTCTCTCACCCCAGCTTCGAAAAGTCCTATGCGCTTTGCACACGGACACGCATTTTCATGTGGGTGCACAACAAGATGCCTGCCGCACCTCCTTAGGGACGAGACCCGGCGACTGCTTTGCAGACATTGTTTTCTCCTTTCTATGGGCTCGCTTATTGCATCGCCTTGAGGCGGAAATGCAACGATTGCAAGTCCTGGATAAGGTTCCCCATGCGGATGGCCTTCGACATCCTCTTTGCGGAGAGCCCTCAATGGAAGAGCAATCCTTCTTAGGGCCCACTTGGATGGATGACACATGTGTGACTTTCTCCCAGCCATCACCTGCTGCCTTGGAGCGTGCAGCTGGCCAAATTGGCGGCCTACTTCTAGGCATGTGTGAAGAGTTCGCCATGACGCCGAATTTGAGCAAGGGGAAAACCGAGCTGATGTTGGTTTTTCAGGGACGTGGCGCCAACCAAGCCAAGATCCGTCATTTTGGTCCCACGGCGTCAGGCACCTTCCCTATTGTCACTGAGGGAGGTGTGCACCACATCAACATTGTTGCATCCTATGTTCATCTCGGCTGCACGATCCATCACAGAGGAGATCTACGACGGGAAGTTCGCCGTCGCATGAGCATTGCACATGCCGCTTTCAACCGTCATCGTCGCCTTCTTTTTCAAAATCGTGGACTGAGCATTGACAGAAGGAAGGAATTGTTTAGGACGTTGATCCTTAGCAAACTCCTTTATGGAGCAGAATCCTGGACCCTTCGAGATGGACGTGACAAACATTATTTGCACAGTTCATTGATGCGGTTGTATGGACGTTTGCTCCCCTTTCAAGATGATCCTCCCCGCCGTGATGCTGACATTCTGGCCGAGACCGGTCTCCCAGAACCGTCGACTTTGCTGCGGCTTTGCAGACTGCGCCACCTTGGCCAACTATATGCGTGTGGACCCACCACGTCGTGGGGTCTCTTCAATGAAGACACAGAGTGGCATGCACTCATTTGGAGTGATCTCACTTGGATGTGGACGCAGTTGAAGCATTCGTCCACCCTCCCGGACCCACTTCAAGGTTTTCAACAATGGGAATATTTGATGCGCTTCCATCGAAACTTTTGGAAGAGGCTGGTCAAAAGAGCAGGAGAACATGCAAGTGGACAGTTGCACAACATGCACCTTGTCACAGGCTTCCATGCGGAATTTTGCAAAGTTTTGCATGATCATGGTCGGCTTCATGGAGGGCCTCCACATGATGAACCCGCTGAAGGCAATCCCATCTATGCATGCATGAAGTGTGAGCGATGCTTCAGCAGTAAAGGTGGTTGTGGAGCCCACCTTTTTCGAGCACATGGCAAGGTCAATCCAGTCCGACGCCTGTTTGCCACCTCGCAGTGCGGAGCTTGTATGACTGAGTATCATACCTTTGCGAAGCTGAAAACCCACCTTCTTCATGCTTCAGCATGCCGACATCTCCTGCAAGCGCAACGTTACAGATGGGAACCCGCACCCGGAGCGGGCTCTCAAGTCAACGCTCGCCTTGAGGAACACCATGATGGACTACTCCCTCCTCTACGTGTTCACGGTCCTCTTCCAGAACCGCTTCAGGGACGCGCAGATGAAGACTATGACCTCGACCTGCTGGAGACTATCTTCCTGGAGATCCTTGATGCTCACACTATTGAAGATTGTGAACTCATGATCCGCAACCAGGCCAAAGACAGGGCTATGTCTTGGCTTACATGGCAAGCCAGTTTGGACCGTTTTCTAGAAATCTTCACAGAGGAAGATGCTGCAGTGTTGCATGTGACTGGGGCCAACCTTCGAGCACTCCTTCAACGACTGCGGACTTCGTTTGCATGGGATTTCCTTGCGACACAAAGGCCTTCGAGGAAGTCGATGTGGCAGCAGAACATTGACGTTTTGGAACAGTTTTGCCGGGTGGAGATTGAAGAGCAACATAACTGTCCGGCAGTTGTGTCGCCTTGCCGTGGTTTCAGCAGAGACCGCTACATTCTGCATCTTTTTGCGGGGCGCCGGCGACAAGGTGATTTCCAATTCTATGTCGATGGGTTGCGGCACCTTCATGGGGACTATAACATCCAGGTCATTTCCGTGGACATTGTCATCGACCCTAATTGGGGAGATCTCGCCAAGGAGAAGGTCAGGCGTTTCTGGATTGATGCCATTCTTGCCAGACAAGTTGTCGCCCTATTGGGCGGCCCGCCCTGCGAAACTTGGTCGAGAGCTCGAGGCCGCCCCATAGGGAAGACGATCGTCTCCGACCCTCACCGGCGACATGGTCCTCGTGTTGTTAGGAGATTGGACGAAATTTGGGGATTGAGCTCTTTGTCCTTGAGAGAGCTCCAGCAAATCACGGTTGGCAACCTTCTTATGGGCTTCCAACTGGTGGCGATGGCCGCTCTGGCATGCGTGGGGGGAGTTGCAGCAGTGGAACATCCTGCCGAACCTCCGGAAGAAGATGCAGCTTCGATATGGCGAACGCCGATCATGCAGCTGTTGCTCGCCTTGCCTGAGTGTGAATCTTTTTCCCTGGCACAAGGCCTTTGGGGTGCCCAATCGTCGAAGCCGACGACATTGGGAGTACTCAACGCGCCACAGCTCAAACTGGAGCTGTACAAAGGCCGTATCACCAAAGAGGTACCAAGGGGTATCTCCATTGGCAAGGACGCTTCTGGCCAGTGGGCTACGGCCCGACTCAAGGAATACCCCCCAGCGTTTTGTCTTTCATTGGCCAGGGGTTTCCTTACTGCCATTAGAGAATTGCCAATTGACCCACAGTGCCAGGTCTCCCTGCAACATCAAGAGATTTTTGGACCTCTTGTCTGCACGACATACGGCAAGACATTTGGTCCCGACTTTGCAGGTTGAGTGTTTTTGAGGGTCCTCTATTTTTAGTTCTTTGCTGGCAATTTCCCAGCAGAATTCAATGTGACTCGCAATGACCGCGGCAGATTTCGCTTCTATGTGTCCATGCCAAAAAATATATATATAATGGTGATATATATATATAATGATATAATATGATTATAGCATGATTATATCATATCATGATCATATCATGATCATGTCATGGTTACAGGATGTGAAAAAAAGGTGAGTTTTTCAATGGGATAAGTTGTCTAGCTGCCAGGTAGCTTGTGGAGTAGAGAAAACTAAAGAAACACGCCATGTTGGATTACCCTTGGTCGTCAGTTACATCAGATCGACTGGTCCTGTCGAGTCGAAGCTTTTCGTTTGAGACGGGGCCAAAAGGGTAGCTCTGTCACGATTGGAACGGATTTTGAAGTCTTATCTATCCATCTATCCATCTATCCATTTGTCCTATCCTGTCCTATCCCATCCGATCCCATCCTACCCATCTAAGAATTTTTACCCCCACTATTTTCTAGTTGAATTCCGCTTAATCATGTCTGTCTTGCTTCACGTTTGATCCACTTTGGCAAACACGTTGCTGGCTACCCCTAGTTGGCTGGTCGAATGCGCAGTTTTTTTTTTTAAAACTAACACATAATGATGTGGTCCTCACCCAGAACAATCCAGAACGAATCACAAAAAGTCAAAATCAATCATAATAACCCATAAAAACCGCTAGTGTCACCATCTCCCCTTGTTTTTTGGCAGGACCGACATCCCCGGTGAGCCCCCGGTAAGGCTCACCGCTAGGTACATCTTCGAATTGGAGAGCGGACTGCTGACGTCGCTGGAAGAGATCTTACCCCCGGCCAAACCGGATACCCCACACTTCGATCCCAACAGCCTCTCAGCAGATCATGGACAGTTGGTTCGCTCGTGGGTTTTCATGGTGTTGAATCCATGGTTAATGGGTTAGTGTTATTAATGGTTAATAATGATTATGAATCCATGGTATTAAACTTAATGGTGTTGAATAGTGTTGGATACTGGTTGAAAATGGTTAATAATTGGAATCATGTGGGTAAAACAATGTCATAAACCACCCATTTGGGAATGGTAAACATACCTGGTTTATGGCATTGCTTTACCCACCTTCTTGGAGAATTTGGTCAAGAATCGGTCTAACATGGTCTAGAAGTATTTGATAATGGTCAATCATGATTCATAGATATTCATAGTGGTCAATCATGGGAGTTTCCCTTCCAATAAGCGTGCAATTGACTTATGCCAGCCTCACGCTGCATCGTTGCATCGCATCCTGCCAAGCGAAGCTCCACAAATGGGTGATTCCATCAATGGGGGTACCCCAAAATGGATGGCTTATAATGGAAGATCCAATTCAAACGGATGATTTATTAATGGTGCCCCTATTCTACATTGCACTGTTCTACTCTACTCTACTCTATTTTTTTTTCCGTGTCCGTAACACGGAAGTTGCCTCCTAGACCTCCTGTGAAGATATGCAAGATCAACATGCAGGCGTCAGACCAACAGTTCACCATTGTAGTAGGCCGTTGGAATCCCTCGTCAGGAGGAAAAGGATGGAGGATAGATGTGACGTCACTGGAATGATGATGAGAATTGAAGTAACTATCCCAACATAGAATTATTTCAAGCTGGTGAATCTATGAGGTATCCAGAAATATCTTATTATGTTGCCAATTTCCACAAGTTTCTTGTTAAAATGGGGGATGCAATGCCCCAGTTTATGGCACTTTTTGTGGGACAGGGATGATAACGATTTGAGGGTACCTTAGTTTCAGGCAAACCATCTGTTGTTTTCCTTTTAACGGCGAAAAAGCATGATTCAATTTTAGTACCTTTGGAAATGCAATTTCGGGATACTACTGTATGCTTTGTGCAAATATAGCCCTACCACCACCAGTGGAACGCCCTCCCAAAAACTTGTCACCATTCGAAATGAGAATTTCTCAGAAGGTAAACGTCCCATGTTGGACACTTTGAACATCAGGTCGGCAGTGGAAAACCGTACGTTACTTAAATGGGACATTGCAACGCCTGAACAGTGCAGCCCGGTTTTATATGAACAATTTCAAGAAAGTCCGTAGGTTGATAATTCGCGCGGGGTAATATAATCTTTTACATATTGGGGATGATGATCACAATCCATGAGTTCCAGCCATTGAAAAGTGGAATTGGGGATTTTCCCCATTCTTCCCCACATAGAACCGGGATTTAGACGGCCATCAAACCATATACAACCCACTGTTCACGGATTTTCCAATAGGTTACCCTCTGGTAAACATACAAAAAACCAACTGGAAAGATCCACCATTTTATAGCTGGGAAAATCCACATTTTAAATTAAATGGCCATTTTCAATAGCTTTTTGTATGGAAAACCACCATTTTTAGCTGGGTAAATCCACTAAATTCCGACTGTGGAGCCGAGGCAACGTTTCAAATGAGATCGGGGGGCGGCAATGGAAGACTTCGGATGGGGCAGCGCCTTAGATTCGTGGAAGTTACCCCTGTTGTTCAACGGAAAGAACGATGGAATGGTTGCTATGGAGGTTTCCTACGGTGGATGGGCCAGCGAAATCCGAGAAACCACCAATTTGGGATGGTTGAAACCCTATAGTGGTATAAACCACCGTTTTCAACTGGTGATTCGGATTTCGCAACCATCCACAGTAGGTCATGGGGGTACCCCAAATCATCCAAGTTATGAACGACCATGACTTGGTATTGAAACCTATGGTGACTTGGAGGATCCAAACATGACTTGGGATCCCCCATTTTGAGAAAGCTTCGCACAAAGATGGAAATCACTACAGCAACACACGTGGGAAAAAAAACATCCACCTGTGTCGTTGAGGAAGTCTGACAAGATCTTGAAATGGACAGCATTTTTAGGACCAAAACCCAACCCCCTGGAAAATAGTGGACAGTTCCCTGCAAAATTGTAGGGGCTCTCATGTGGTAGTCTCGATTTGAATATCATGTTCAAGAGGGGCCCTGCAGTTTTATACTTTGGGTTTATTTATGATACCCTCTGGTAATTTAACATAGCTATTGAAAATAGCCATAGAAATAGTTGATTTTCCCATTAAAAATGGTGATTTTCCATAGCTATGTTAATTTACCAGAGGGTACCCCCATTTGAGTACAGACTCATCTCCACCCTTTCCATCCAACAGTTAGCCTACTGAATTCAACCAACGTCCCCATCATACATCACCAACGATTCACTTATTTTGCTGGTTCAATCTCTTTTATTGATTGCTAATCGTTGCTAACCCATGAACTTTCATTTTTTTGTGTGTGTTAAATTCCAATTCTTGTCATGCTTTTGTCGCTTCTCTCCAAACAAATCCCATGAATATTGCAGGAACATTTCACCCATCGTCCCGGAGTCCCTTCCTGTTTGGCCCTGTGGATGGCCGTTGAAGTTCCCTCTGTTTTTGGAGGTAGAACATAGCGATGGCCCAGAATTTTGTGATGACTTCTTCGCATTTGTTCTATCTCCATTTTTGATGAGTGACTTTTCAAAACTTTTCTGTAGATCTGCAGGGACACCTTTATTCATTTCACCCCAAAAGTGGTGGTGTTTTGCAGCCCACCTAAGGAAGTCATCACTTTGGATCATGCTGATGCCAATCAGATCATGAACACAGCTGGGCCCCACAGTCATGGCGCAGGGGCATGGCGCGGGGGTCGTTTGGAGCTCGGTTTCCTGCAGGGGCATCGAGCGGGTTTCCCCGTGGGGGCCTGGACAATTTTTATAACATCTACCGTCAAGTAAAGCTTGAACCATTGGAGGAGGATCCCAACTTGCTCATATATCTCATATAGAATGGGGGGTTTGAAACTGCGAAACAGCAAGTGTCAAGGCATCTGACTGGCTGCCTGCTCCCCCTGTTATGGCCTCCTTGATCATATCAGTGAAGAATGAGACGAGGAAGAGGGAAACCCTTCAATCACAATCTTTCAGACACCAAATTCGCGATCTGTGATTTCCTAAAAAATCTAAGGTAACATATCTTTCTCACCGACCCGAGTCTCGTAGGGCTTCCTCTCATGCGTAGGGCTTCGCGGGATGGGCGTTCCGCGACGCGAATACCGAGGCAGCAAAAAGAAACTACCGCGAGCGGAAGTCAAAGACGTTGACCTCCACGGTTCGCCGCAAGGGGGAAACCTCCAGGGCACTGGGAAGTCATGGAGGTTTCTTCAAATGGTGGAACCCCTCCAGTTGGTTTATGATGGAAAATCCATACTATAGATGATTATAAATGGATGTATTATACAGGGGTATCCGCATGATTTATGACACCTCCACATATATGCAAATGTCTATGTGATATGAACGATGACTTTTTTTTTCGGAATTCAGGTCCTGCGCATATCACCACGAAGAGGTGTTTGAACCTGGCTTGGTCAAAACCATGGTTTTATGTCGTTATGTTCCTTTTTGGGGAATTCCAGGATGGGATGGATGACCAACAAAACACAAAAACAGCGATTTGACCATGGCACACACACAGATATATATATATAATATAATACTGTATATATATATAATATATAAAGTAAGATAAATCACCTGGATTTCCCAATGGGAAATCCATTACTTGGGGAATCTTTTTGGGGAATACACTTCAGCAGATCCAAGAAAAGCATCAGGGTTTCCCACAGCATCCAACTGAAATCAACCAGGCACAGAAGAATGCCAAAGCGGAGCGGCTTAGCGTTGAACGAAGCGATGAGTTTTTTTTTTGGTCTTGGTGGACTGAGTTTCAGCATGAAGACTGTGGGTTTAACCATCAGAAATAAGGGTCGCAACACTTTTTAACATGTCAGTTTTACCCAGCAAAATGCCAGTTTTGTCAACAAAGATGCGGGTTTTACCAGCAAACATGTAGGTCTTTTCGGCACGCACGTGCTGGGATCTTTTCCAGCCACGAGATGGGGTGGTTTGGAGTAACCACAGTTGGTTCTATACCCCCAAAATCGCAGGATCCATCCCAGCCATAAACTGTCCCCAACTTGTGGTTTTCTAATGGTGTGGTTGATTTTTTTTGTATAGCCCTCGGATAATTTTTGAAGAACAAACGTTTTTTCTTTTAGTCATTGGATCCGCATGTTATCCCCATATTGTAATCCATTGTAATCCCTCTATCTCCACATAGAATTCATATGGTTTTAAAGTAGATCCCATATATATGCCATATATATATAACCATATACATGCCATATAAAGTATGCTCATCTTCTCCCCAGATTTTCCTCTTGAGCCGCCGCGCCATCCTTCGAGGTACAAATCCACCATGGAGCGCATGAGCAGCGTCGCGGAGCGTCTCAGATCCCTACAGCTGGACGAGGAGGAATCGCAGCGGCTGCAGCTCATGCGCCTCAGCAAGGACCGGCTGCCGGTGATCTTTTTAAGGGGGGGATTGGGTCCGTTGGGGGAGATAGTGGAAAGATCTTGGGGACATATTTATGATAGATACACTATGATATATATATATATGATATATATATATATACATACACTAATATGTGTGTATCTATATATATATATATATGATATAACGGTAGATTCACCAGCAAGCGATTCTTGCCCTTTGGTGTCACCAAACATGGCTGGCCGCTTGGGAACATCAACTACATGGAGGCAGCATCCAGCATGCCATGTTTGATTGCCAGAGGGTAGAAGCACATGAACAGGAATAAGATGATATGATTACATACATACATTATATTTATATGTACATATGATGTACATATATACATAGTTATACATATGTATGTATCTATATACATATATACATACGTGAATACATATGATTATATTCGGAGGATCATGTGAGTTTAAGCAGCAGGAAAATGGGATGTGGTATCAAAGCGCAAGCCACATATTGGGGACTTGACCTCGGAATGGGATAGACACCAGAAAAAACGAGAGACTTGAGCAGGAAAATAGGATGAAATACGCATATACTCCTATACTACCATTACAGAAAAAACATACCCATTGATATCTCCAAACAGTCGTAGTAATCAGTAGTCATAAACCAGCCATCATTTTTAAGTGAAATCCCTTTTTGAATTGGCTATACTGTGGATGGGCCAGTGAAATCACCAGTTGATGGCCAACAGGCATCTGGTGATTTCGCTGGCCCATCCACACGTAAAAATTCACCATTCCAAATATTGGAATTATTGAATGTTGATGATTTATGATGGATATATCTATATAGTAATCTATAGTGAGATGGGATTATAAACCAAAAATTTGCTGCTTGGTGGTTTGGAACATTTGGATTATGACTGTCCATATATTGGGAATGTCATCATCCCAACTGACGAACTCATATTTTTCAGAGGGGTAGGTCAACCACCAACCAGGAATGTTGATGAATGTTGAAGAATTGCTACGATTTCTTCACTTGATCCCTTTGCAATTCTGAATTGACCGCAGTTGAATGACACAATTGGCCATATGGAGGTTTCCTGAAATAGGGATACCCCTAAATCATCCATTTGTAGATGGATTTTCCATGGAACAAACCATCCAGCTATTGGGGTACCCCCATTGATGGAAACCCCTATTGGCCATCCCTGCCCTGTATGGCCTGCAGGAGAGACGGAAACGTCGCTCAGGTGCCCTGTTGTGAACTTGGGATTGTGGTAAGAACTGGACCACAGATCCTCCATGTTTAGTATGAACCAACATTCATATGTACATATTATGTACATATACAGTATCTATATACAATATATATATATATTGCTACCATGTATGTAATATATTGTAATATGGGATCATATAATATAGCTGGAGGTTTCCTCAGTCATGGGGGGCACCCCAAATCATCCAAGTCCTGAACGATCAGTTTTGAAACCTATGGTGGGGATCCATCATTTTAAGAAACCTTCATATTCACCATCTACCATCTAGTTATTTCACATAGCCATGGAAAATCACCATTTTTTAATGGGTAAACCATCTATAAATGGCTATGGATCAATACCTATACATACCATTTTTAGGGGGATGAACATCCATTTACCAGCTATTTTGATGTTCACCAGGGGAATAGGGTTTTGACCCATCCCCAAATGGCAATTTTCAATAGCTATGTTAAATAACCAGAGGGTAATTATCAGCGGCTACCCAATGACTTGACTATACTTGACCCATAAGTCACCGTAGGTTTCAATACGAAGTCATGGTCGTTCATAACTTGGATGATGGGGGGGGTACCCTCCATTTTAGGACACCTTCATGTGGTCCCAATCTGGAATCCGAACATCTTTGGCTTAAAAGATTGTTTCTGACATTCTGCAGAATCTATCTGAGTAACGTGGCAAACCCAATAATAAACCATCCCGAAAATCACAATTAATGGGGTGTATAACCCATCTCCAACTGGTATATTCATTTAGTTGTTTTACCACAGTGAAAATTTCAGACTCTGACCGTCTGACAATTCCACCGGGCTGGTTTTCAGGGAAAATCTACAGGACACCATGGTTTTTTCTCATGAACATAGGGGGGTTTCCTGTATATAAAGCTTCCCTTAAATTTGCTGGATCCATAGTTTTGGAAAAAACCATTAAAAACTAAAGCTTTTGGGAATACCTAGATGAACATCAGAAGCTAAAAAATTAAATCCTTGATTTCCAGATATCTTGTTATTGAAACCTTGGAGACCTCAATTAAAAAAATACGTTTCCAAAGTTTATCTGGGGCCCCCAGAATGGATGCTTCGCAAAGTTGGGTACCCTGAAAACATGTTTTTTTTCCACTAGTCATGCCCAAATTTGGATCCCAGTGGTAAAGAAATCCCCATTACATATACACCATCATTTTCCCATCACATTCCCGATTTGTTCCCATCAAAAAAAATCCGTTCTATCTCCCATCAGATTTCGGTGGGAAATTCCCGTCGTATGACCATAACATTCCTACTTGTTGCTGGTTGAACATGTAATATTTTTGTAATCATTATAATCATCATATTACTCTTGCAAACGACACTCTTATTTACTCCATTCTTAGCCATTCTTACCATTATTCAGGTTCGAGTTGGTGGGATACCCAACAGTTATAATCCTTTTTTATCATGGGGAGGCTCGGGTCTGTGATGCCAACCCACCACCACCCCAAACCACCAGTTAATCTTTATCGCTATAATTATTGTCAATAGTTATTTCTGCCTATGACTATCATGTTCATTCATCATTGATAACAGTATTCAACGTTACCATTATTTTCACCTCCCAACTTAGCTAATATACAGTAATATAGTAGTTAGCATGACTATTATTTTCTGAGAATTATCATTCTTGTTACTCTCTGGTAAATTAACAGTTCGACCCTAAAATTCCACCAGTTTTAGTGGTTTCACTAATCTTACAACCCCCATCTGGCAGGGTCGAACTGTTAATTTACTGGAGGGTAGTTGTTACCTTTCTTAAGATGATCATTCTTGCAGTGATATAGTAGTAATATATAGTTCTAGCTAATATATAGTACTGTAAAAGAATCAATAATGAAGACTTGCAGCAATTGATATCGATTATCATTATTTCTAGTATTCAACATATAGTACTATAATCTGACTGGTGCTTAGCAGGGAATTTTCGGGAATGATCCACTGGCTAACTATCAATCATAATCCCAGCAACCCCTATTCCCATCCATTCCCTACGTAAAACGCACCAGTAAGTCTTAAGTTTTGGAAATGGATGATCCCATCTTTGAAATGGATGATCCCATAGTAGAAGTATAGCACTCATATAGTAGTAATATATAGATTATATTAGTTCTAAAGCTAATATATAGTACTGTAATATAGCACTCATATAGTACCTCTCGTTGTATCCCCCCATTTTTTTTTGGGTCAGGTGCGACTCCTGCAACGGCGCCTGCGCTGATTCGCATCCCCTCGGGCGCGCCTTGGATGCCTTGGATGATCCCGTGGATGATAGTTATCAACGAGAAGTTAGCTATTTTCATAGCCATGGATATCTATAGTAACTATAATAATCTATGGTAATATAGATAATAACTATGGTAATAACTATATCTATGTAAATAACTATGTAAATAACCATATCTATGGGAAACTATAGATAATACCTATAATGACCAGTTTTTTCATAGCCATAGTAACTTCAATGGTAATTTCAGGATCCAACAGATGGAGGTACGTTAGTACCATATTTTTGGCCATATGAATTGTGGGGATATCCCCTGAAATGAAGGCCTGATATAGTATAGGCCTTATATATGGTAGGTACCTCCAATTTAGGTTCCTGAAATCGCCATTGACAACTATAGTATCTATGTAGATAACCATACCTATGGTAATATAGATAATAACTATAATAACCAGTTATATATATAGATATCAAATTATGTAAATAAGCATATACAACCATATTTATACATATTTATTTCGTATACCATAGTTAATTATCTATTTTCATAACCATATATAAATAGATATATAGCCATAGATAACCACCTATATAACTATAGGTGGTTATTAAACTAGATATTTGTATACCATAGTTTCATAACCACCTGTATTTGTATTTCTATATACCATCTATATATACTAGATATATACAGATGAACAATAAATTATAGATGTATGGATCAAAAACATAAGCATAGATAACCACCTATAGACCATCTATATAAACTATATATAAACCAGATATATCATCTATAGTTATCTGTATAACCATAGTTATCTATAGATAAATGGCTATGGATCAAAATTAGATACCCCAATAATTGAATGGTACATACTAAAAATATTCTAAAATCTGTGGTTCTTCTCAGGTCTTTATTTTTGACCCCATACCCGTAGTGACACCATAAAACCACAGTTACCCTCTGGTAAACATACAAAAAACTATGATCATTTTTAATGGGTAAATCCACTATAAATCACCATTTTTCAATAGCTATGTTAAATTACCAGAGGGTATCTATTTCACAACCATCTATATAAACTAGATATATACAGATGAACACCATGATAGATAGTGGTGTGGGTCAAAACCCTGGCAGTATAAAACCATAGTTAAGCAACTTAACAGGGAGATACAGTACCCATAGTTACAAGGACTTCACTGACTAGCAACAATCGGAGTATGGGTCAACACCTATTATCACCTCCTTTTAGGGGAATCAACGTCCATTAACACGGCTACTTTAGGGTACCTAGGGTGCCAGGGTTTTGACTCACAGCCATAGATGAACAGCATAAAATCAATAGTCATGAACCAACTTAACAGTTGGAGAGATAACCATCAACAACAGGCCAGCAAGGGACTTAACTGGCTTAACTACCAACAATTGGGATGTAATATGATGAATACTGGTGGTACAAGCTATAGATTCGGGTTGATTTCTATTGGAGAGGGAATGATTTTTGCTGTGATTTAGTGAGTTTAATGGACGTGTTTAATGATTTTTTGGTGGTGCCCTAGTTCCGAATCGCGAAGAAAAGTTGGTGTCAAAAACAGGGTGAAATCTATGGGTTTTGCACCCCTCAAGCCCAGTAGATTATATCATCATTTTCCGAATTTCCAAAGTCATTTTGTGGTGTACCCCATTTTCAGACATACGCAATTGGTATGGGGTGTTACATATACATACACATATATATATATATACATACACATATATATATATGATCGAGAGACCTTTAGGTACCATTTTGTTCCGGTTAATTCTGATAATTTTTAGAGCCTTTTGGATAATTGAGAGGATTTGAAGAATTAAATGATTTAATCCTTTTAATCCTTTTAATCCTCCAGAGCCTTTTGGGGGATTAAAAGGATTAAAAGGACTAAATGATTTAATCCTTTTAATCCTTTTAATCCTCCAGAGCTTTTTGGAGGATTAAAAGGATTAAAATGATTAGATGATTTAATCCTTTTAATCCTTTAAATCCTCCAGAGCCTTTTGGAGGATTAACAGGATTAAAAGGATTAAATGATTTAATCCTTTTAATCCTTTTAATCCTCCAGAGCCTTTTGGAGGATTAAAAGGATTAAAAGGATTAAATGATCCTTTTAATCCTTTTAATCCTTTTAATCCTCCAGGGGGTCCGGAATTCCCGGCCCAAGCCCTTGAGAAATATATATAAATCCATTTAATCCTTTTAATCCTCCAGAGCCTTTTGGAGGATTAAAAGGATTAAAAGGATTTAAAGAATTAAATTGCTGGGCTTTTCTTGGGATTCTGGGAGGTCTGGAGGATTAAAAGGATTAAAAGGATTCAATGATTTAATCCTTTTAATCCTTTTAATCCTTTTAATCCTCCAGGGGGTCCGGAATTCCCGGCCCAAGCCCTTGAGAAATATATTTAAATCCATTTAATCCTTTTAATCCTCCAGAGCCTTTTGGAGGATTAAAAGGATTTAAAGGATTTAAAGAATTAAATTGCTGGGCTTTTCTTGGGATTCTGGGAGGTCTGGAAGATTAAAAGGATTAAAAGGATTAAATGGTTTAATCCGTTTAATCCTTTTAATCCTCCAGAGCCCTTTAGGGGATTAAAAGGATTAGAAGGATTAAATGATCCTTTTAATCCTTTTAATCCTTTTAATCCTTTTAATCCTCCAGGGGGTCCGGAATTCCCGGCCCAAGCCCTTGAGAAATATATTTAAATCCAGTTAATCCTTTTAATCCTCCAGAGCCTTTTGGGGGATTAAAAGGATTAAACGGATTAAATGATCTAATCCTTTTAATCCTTTTAATCCTTTTAATCCTCCAGGGGGTCCGGAATTCCCGGTCCAAGCCCTTGAGAAATATATTTAAATCCATTTAATCCCTTTAATCCCCCAGAGCCTTTTGGAGGATTAAACGGATTAAAAGGATTAACGGATTTAATCCTTTTAATCCTTTTAATCCTCCAGAGCCTTTTGGAGGATTAAACGGATTAAAAGGATTAAATGATTTAATCCTTTTAATCCTTTTAATCCTCCAGGGGGTCCGGAATTCCCGGTCCAAAAGGATTAAAAGGATTTAAAGAATTAAATTGCTGGGCTTTTCTTGGGATTCTGGGAGGTCTGGAGGATTAAAAGGATCAAAAGGATTAAACGGTTTAAAAGGATTAAATGATTTGATCCTTTTAATCCTTTTAATCCTCCAGAGCCTTTTGGTAGGTTCAACAGGGTTCCAGATAAAGTTCCGGGAGGCTTTGGTGCAGAGCCAGGTCAGGCTCAACAGGGCTCCGGGGTCCCGGAGAAGGTTCCGGGAGGCTTTGGAGCAGAGCCAGGTTAGGTTCAACAGGGTTCTGGTGAAGGTTCCGGAGAAGGTTCCGGGAGGCTTTGGTGCAGAGCCAGGTCAGGTTCAACAGGGTTCCGGAGAAGGTCTGGGAGGCTTTGGTGCAGAGCCAGGTCAAGTTCAACAGGATTTGTGGCCATTTAACTCACGGAAACCGAGCTGAAGTGTTTCCAGCGCTTGGCTTGGCAGCAGGCTTCAGAAAGATTAGTAAACATAAAACGTTGCGGCTGTTGGGCATACCACCGAAGCTTGTTTTCCAAAGACATTTGCTGTGGATGGAAATTGCATGTCCCTTCAAAGTTGCAAGAATGCAGGGGTGAGGCATGTCACCCTGCCTTTGGCAGCATTGTAAGTGACAGCACACGAGATTTCTTGTAAAGAAGCAACACCCGGATGTTTGTTTGAAATTTCCTGGAACAAATATTTTTCGACAAGGGCCACATCACCACATGGGACTTTCAAAAAGCAATGCTCTTGAGCTGCATTGACAGCTGGTGAGCCTCCATCCACATTGTGCAAACAGACAACATCACCAGAAGTAATTGTTGCCCCAGAAAAAAGTTTACAACGAGAGCTCTGCATGCAAGGCATTCCCACAGGAACCACGCCAGCATTGCATAGGAATGCCGTCATCTTCTTTGTGGGGCCCCCTTTGCATTTTGTAGGCAGGTGCCTTCTCTAAACAGTCTTGACTCTTCACCCAATGTATAGATGTGCCCTGCAATGACAGACTTCCTCAGAGAAGTTTCCCAATAGGTAGTGTTGCACAAGACATTCCCATGTTTTCTAGTGCCTTTGTGCTTCCTTTCCATGGTCCAGCATGCAGGTAATTGGCCATGCCTCTGGAGACTTTGACTATAATATGAAGTGACCAGTGCATCTTTGGCTCGAATTCTTCCGACCAGTCAGCTGCAACAGTTGCCTCCAATGCTGCTTCAACAAATGAAAGCAATTGCTTGTAGTCAGGCTTTTCCAAAGCAGGGATGGATAGGCGATAGTCCAAAACTTTGCACCAAGCCAAAGAGCAAGTTGACCCCAGAAGACAAATGCCATTAGGCAAGCAACAAATTTGGACATAGTGTGCCAGCACCTGGTACAGACCCAGAATCTCTGAGGATGCATCTGAACTTCCCAGCTTTTTTGTGGCCTCCCACTGCTTTGGGCAGAAATAGCCTTTTCAAATTGCATTTGTGAATGGCAGGCTGGGCCCAAAGTTGCACAAAGCCATGTGCCTTCCAAATCTCAGCCACACCACTGGAAGCAAGCGGTTGGATCCACAAAAACAAATACCTAGTTCAGCACACCATTTGGGCAGAGCCCATGCATATAATCATGCATGTATTGGGTGATTGGTCTCAGAAGGTTCTGGGACTTCAGCTTGTCACTCAGCAAGAGTGAATGCTGGGAATAATCAACCCCAGAAGCCTGGCTCCACCTTCTTAACTCGGTTTTGTTGCACTCTTGCATCCTTGCCCACAAGGACAGGATTTCTTGGTCTGTTGCAACATCCAACAGAGAGTTTCAGTCTTTTAAGACCTCCCTGTAACAGTACCTCAGAATGAGGATGAGCATATTTGTTGTCAAACATGTGCTCCAGGATCAACCTGAAACATTGGCCAATGCTGGCTGCCAGCTGTGAGACTTGCTC